TTCAACCCAAATTTTGCAATCGTATTATGTTTTGTTAATTATATTTCTTAAAATAAAAAATGTTGTTGAAAAAAAGTTGATTATATTGTATAGAATTTTTTTCTCACTATTCAAATTTTGCCGCCCCCCAAAATTTGCCGCCCTGGGCAGTAGCCCCGATTGCCCCTACTGTAAATCCAGCACTGATTATATTAACAATATATAATTTCAGGCAATGAACCATGTAACGCAACTACAACTAGGCAAGAAACAAATAATTGCTGATAAGTGTCAGGACGAGATTGTAGTTAAAGGAATATCATTTTTAAAATAATCATGACATAGATACAGAAAAATTAAAGAAGATCTTAATTATTATTATTATACACATAACCTAACCGTGGCGCACTCATCAAACAGTGTGTCGTCAGAATCGAGCCATGACGAATATATTCCTCAATCACAAAATTAGTTGTGATGGTAAGATATATTAAATGAAGAATTGGATTTATTTTACGAAATTATAAATTTTAATTTCACATTTTAAGTTAACAAGATATATTAAATAGGTATTGAACTAAAAACGCAATAAGTGCAATTAAATATTATAAAAATACGAACTGAAATTTTTGTTGTGAAGTGATAGGAATATCATAAAATATTATAGGTCTAGTTTAATTATAAAAAATCATTAAAGTTTGGAATTAGTACTCTTATTACATGCACTGTATAGATAACGAAATATCGATACAAAACAGGACATTTTGTGCAGAACATTTTGAATGAAATGTGTTATTAAAATTAAATTAAATGAATACAACTACTAAAACTTTGACTAAATTTTAGATCAGACTTTCATCAGAATTTATGAAAAAGCTTCAATTTTATTAAAAAAGCAATTTATTTTTATCATGGCTTGTACACGTAATTTTTTTAAGCGAAATGGAAAACTAAACACAACTCCGAATTTTCATTATTTTATAATAGTCATTTTAGTAGTCCAATCATTTTTATATAGCTCAGTAATCAATCAATTAACTATTATCGCTTTTTTGTGAACGTTTTTAACTGAAATTCAATCAAGATTTTTCTGAGCTTATTAATATTTATACATTCATATTTATATTTTCTGTAGCTAAACGTTTGCGGCCCGCCATAAAATTTGAAAATTTAAATTGGCCCGCGGGTTAAAAAGGTTGCTCGCCCTTGAGTTAACTGGTTAATATTTTATTCAGAAACACATTTTAATTTATTCAGAACACTTAATAAAAATCATTTTCAAACAATTATGTGTATTTAAACAACGAACATAGCGTTGTACAATATTTTTTCAATATTATTGTTATAATAGGTATCAAGAACAACAACTTTTATATATTAAAGTTCGATATTAGGTAGTAATTAAGCTAAGTCTACAACTTTTCAACTGGCAAGCTTATTTCTCAATCAAAAACATTCTTTGGACATAACGTTTCATAAACTTAAATCTTAAATAATATTTAATAAACATAGTAAAAATAATATATGCTATTATTATTAATATTAACCTTAAAGCTTTGCTAAGTACCAATAATAAAATATAATTGAAAGCTGATAATTCATGGAATAATCTATTAGTAAAATCTTCGTTTCAAAACAAAATCAATAAAAAGTTTAATTACAAATTATTTATAACACTTCTTTAGAATTAGATATCACAAAGTAAACAAAACAAATTAGAATATTATTGCTTTGTAGTTACAAAATATTGATATGTGTTGCAACAATGTATACTGCATAAATAGCTAAACAAACTTGTTAAAATAGAAAAATAAAGATCATTATATTAACTAATTGACTTATTTAAGAAAGTTCATAAATACAAAAAATCAATTTATAAAAAATATTTCATTGTATCGTATTAGAATAAATTCCTTAAATGATTTTTCCAAAACGTACAGCATTTATACTTATCATAATTACAAAGTAATTCAATACACACTAGCCCAATATAAGTCTTTTTAGAAAAAGGCATTATAAAATAAATTAAACGTAGAAGCAATATCCTACTGCGTTATATAATACATAAGTTACTTCCAATGACTTAATTTCAGTTTATTCAAATATTTGAGCATCAAAATTGAACATGCAAAAAAAAAATCTTGCAAATAATGAATAAAATACTTTTGTCTTTTCAACAATCGATCCCGAATTTTTTTGATAATTTTCTCATAGTACGCATGGTATATATATAATTATATTAAAATCTAGGCACAGGGTATCTACATCATCTAAGCGGGAAACAAATTTGCAAAACAACCAACATTTTGCTTGAAAAATTGACATTTCGATTTTTTAATATTGACTATTCCAATACCTGAATGAAATATAGGATCATTTCTTTCAATTTTTTTTATTTGTCAAACAAACTGCAGAAATTCAATGAAAATAATTCATTTGTACTTGTGAATTAAAAAACACAGGAAAGATTTTAAAAATGTTTTGAAAATATTTAGAAACTCGTATTAAAATTAAAAAGCAAAAGATTATTCATATTATACAATATTATATAAACAAATATCTTGATATAACATCTTCATACGATTAAAACTTATGGGCTTTGATTTTTGATTTTCGGCTTTGAATTTTTAACAAAAATATAAAATAAGTATGCGGTAGTGATTACGCTTCTATTGTATTGTAATCATGGATCTCGATAAAAAATATTTTAATGTAATGTATTTTATTTAATAGTATTCAACTTAAGTAATAATTAATAATCTATTTTATGATGAAATACTAGGGTTTGAAGAGAAGCTTGAAAATTGCAATTTCTTAGTTTAGTGAAAACCAAAAGAATAGGTCCGTATAAAAGCTTCTTTAAAAAGATGTGAGTAATACAAACATGCAAACATTTCGGTATTAATTTTATCATATTTTCAGATACATTATTATTTTTTCATTATGATCATGATCATTTGTTAAATGGAGTCATTAATTTGCTTTATAAATTATGAATTTTCAAATAATACATATTGCGAATTTTATTGTTAATCAAAGCTAGGAACAAAAGTACATGTAGGTGCAATAGAGGCAATCATAAAGAATATTTGTTTCGAATTTAGGTATAGACAAACCTTTATCTTTTTAATTACTACTTTTATACCTGGTAACTTCATAATGTCAAAATTGTATAATTCAATTATAATTCTATACTATTCCTGTATCAAAAAATTGTAAAAATAACGTACATTTATTACAAAATTGATTTATTGATATCAAAAATTTTAATTCATTAAAAAATTTTACTCTGTCAAGCAGAATTGAGCTCTATCGCACCCACTTGAGTTTATTCTAGAATTGGTTAAATAAGTCCTAATTCGGAATTCTAAAAACCCTAACAAACATTTCACAAAAAGGTTCTAACTACGTAACTATATGAACTACAATTGGCATTGATTATTGTTTATTGTAAATTTTCAAAACTTATTACTAGTTTGCATAAACTTTGTGTTTTATGTTATTGACAATAAGTTCATGCAACTCAAGAAGTTCAACACAAGATATTTCATAACATTCAATCATATTTTTTTTAATCTTAAACTTACATAAATAAATAAATGGCGATACAAGACAGTAAATAAAAATAAATTATTTATCGACTAGGTGACTTAACATATTTCAACGCATTACAAAAAATTTACAATTCATACTTATATACAATTTGTACAAACATAGTAATAACTTCACTTATTCCGATATAAACAAATTCAGCCTTTTAAGTACAACTATTTGAATGTCAAACGTTCCAAGGAATTTAAATATCTACTAACTTTAGCTATATGCTACTTGTTGTATGGAATCACTTATATGTACAAAAGAAACTTAATAGCATAATACCTTAACAATATATATATATATATATATATATATATATATATATATATATATATATATATGATTAAGACCATATTTTCGCAATGTCTATTTCGACAGCTGTAAAGCAGAGTTGGTCTTCTCGTAATAATATTTTATAAAGATATACGTGAGATAACGATATAAAGAAATACGTGAAATTTATTGACATTTTTGATTATTATGGCCTAAACTACACCATAAATTTATTAATTCAACTAATATTTAGCTGCTATATGAAATAATAACTGTGACAAAAACTATGACAAAATGGAACTGGGTCAGCATCCAAAACTGATTTTTGTTTAAAATAAAGATAAATATATTTGAATAAATATAAATTTAAATAAATCAGATCAGTTTATAGATCCTAATCGATAATGGAATTAATAAATCTGTCAAAAATGTAAAATCTAATTGATTAACATAAGAAAAAAGGTTTATGCGAATATCTTATAAATAAAGAGAATATTAACAAAAAAAAATCAACTGTTTAAACTGACTTGATATCTGAGGCCCATATAAAGAACATAGATTTTTCATACTTTCAAAAAAAGAACGAAATAAAATAAAGAAAATTCAATATTTAAGATAGTTTCAATTTAAATTCAAATTAATAAACAACGCAAAATTTCATTTCAAACTAAAAGACTAAAATCTTTAAGAAGATTGAGGTTGGTCGACAATTTTTCGATTTACGGTCACTAATTCAGAATTATGATTTCATATAGCCGCACCAAATTGCGATTTGTTTCACATATTTTCTGATGTACAGGAGTTATCAGCGCTTGGAATATTGCTTTTTTTCAATTCATCAAAATAATTTATGTTGAATTCAAAAAATGGAATGATTCATTCACTAGAGGTAATATTAGTAATTGAAAAACTAATTCCAAAATGTAACGAAAATTAGGAAATCAACCTTTCTTGATCAAAGCATCGATTATTTAATTCTGCATAAATTTCTAACAAAATAGCATAAAATTATAAAGTTCACCAACAAAATTCTAAATTAACCTAAGAAGAGTTTAGTATGAAGGGCAATCGGCAGAAGTAATATTTAGGTACAGTATAATATGAAGTTTAGCACATGAAAAAAACGTCGAACTATCTTCCGTACTCATATTCAACGAATTATTCGTTACCGTTAATTTTTTCCCTACTATGGTTCGAGCATTTCGATTTGCGTCCGAGCGATTCCAAGTAAGCAGCCGGAGCCCAGCCATCTACACCGCTTCCTAAAAATTACATAACTTAATTTATATTGTTTTTAATTTCAATCAGATGAATGTAAAAATTTTGACCTTCAATAAGCAAAAGCAAAATTTCAAAAACTATGTCGATCAAAATACAATAATTAAGCAAGCACAATAAAACAACAATATAGCATACATGCATTGTTGTAACATACAATTTATGTATTAGTAAGGATAGTGTTTTATGGATGACCAAAATATGTTAGTACATTGATAACAAAGTAATTATAAATGTATAATGGCTGTGGCATGACATCTGTTATAAAAATACATGTTCAATAAAATTTTGAACATTAAACGTAAAATTGCCCTTTACCTTAGAATTATATTTAATATAAAATTGTCGTTATCATGTTATACATATGGCAACAACTTGAAACTTCTATCAAGCGATAAATTTTGCGGAATATAAATATACTGATACCAGAACCAAAAGCTACTATGAAGTTATAGGTCTAAGCATACACAAACAACACCATAAATTAATAAGAAAAATGGAAGTTTCTTAAGTTTAAATAACTTTATATCATAATATTCAAAAAGGACTATTTAATGCCGATGGTAAATCGCCAATATTTTTATTATTGCTCCTAGATTATACAAAATAATAATCGATTGGTTCTAATCTTGTGGCTTAAGTAATCCGAAGAAATCATACAAAATTCTGTTAAAAATTGAGCCACTCGATGTAAATTGTTGAGGCTGATTCGGTTAGAAATTACAAACTTAATCAATTATTGTATTTTCAGAATGCTTAGGCAGGTTCAGAGGCTATAGCCATTCAAATTCTCAACATAATATTGCCAAATATATAATCGTCTTATTATATGGATTTACTATTATTGAGATAAAAAGGAAAAATCTGATGATAAATAGAGATAGTTTACAACTAACGATATTCCGTTGATAAAGGTTGAATTAAAAGTAATAAGTAGTATACTACTTATAAATGATCTTTATAAAGATCATTCCTTAACGTCAGAATTGGAGGTAAAATGGTTATAAGGTATAATTTCATTTACGACTATTTATTATATACCGGCACAAATCTAAAAATATTTTAAACATCTTGAAATTTAAGTATATAATTTTTCTTATCTTTTCAAAAATGGCATATTTAATAAGTCAATAGTCAATACACAAAATTCTGTGACTACTCTATGTCGAGTATATTCGCTAATCACAATTAACTGGTTAAACTGTTGGCCAATTAGATTAAAACTACTTTCCAAACGAACGAACACATTCCACTCGACGAGTTTCCTAAATAGTAGGCATATAAAAATGAGCAAAGTATTTTGTGATAATAATAATAAATATCCATTACAAGAGAATATTGGAATACATATATACATTTTTATTTAGTCCTTGGTAAAGCCTTTGCCGTTAACGAATTAAGCAATAATACTTGAGAACTAATACAGTTTGATAGCTTAGAACTTCTTCAAAATATTAAACGGAAGGAAACCCATAACCATTTTTACAAGCTCATTTTTATTCATAAAGCTGCAGATAAATATTACCGAAATATATCCTCTACAAAAGGCAAAATATAGAAAATTTTATTTAGTCCAAAGTGAATCCTTTGAGGTCAACATATTAAATGATATGAGTACTAATACCGTTTGATGGCATTGTAGCTATTAAATCTATTGAATTAGAAGTAAACCAATAATGCAATAATCATATACCACAACCCGATTTTTTCTAAAATAATTTGAAAAGTAATACAATGGTCTTAAAAACAAACACGTTCATAATTGATTAAATATAAACATCAACCAAACCTAACATACCAAATCAAAAAATAGAAAAACATGCACAAAATTTGGTGGCGGTCATTTTCGTCGTTACATACCTATTAATTTAACAAACCACCAACCAGCGCAACCGACTTTAAGTAATTCAACGGTTTCGCCTTCTTTCATTGAGACTTGGCTGTGACCTACAGCGCAGTAATCAGCCAAAACGACATAACGCCCGGACTAGAAACAAATAATTTACCATTTTCTTTTAACTGGCCATTGAAAAAATACGTTATATGTAGGTACTTTGAAACTTAAACCAATATATTACTCCAACGCTCATCTGCAGAATCTCTTAACAACAATCCTTTTTTTTTACAGTTGAAATAAATATAATTCAAGAAATTTTTCACCACCATATCCCAAAAACCTAATGAGCTATACCAAATTCAAATTTTACAATTTAATAAAAAACATTTAAATCGATTTATCTCGCTATTCAGTAACTTATCAAACTCAATCAGCCTTAACTTTCGGCAATAAAATCTGAAATGGTGTAAAATGAAAAATGATATGAAGTATCTTATGACAGGTTAATATGACTATGATTATTGTAAGTTTACACTTAAAAATTAATACTACAATTATACTATAAACATGTTAAACAACAATATGGAATATAGACAAAAATCGAATGGTGTCATTACTGTGTTTTTTTTTAAATATTTATAATCAAGGTATAGTAAGCAAGGGTATTTATTTTAACTAAATCCTAGTTCTAGTGTTACTTTAACAGGGTCAAGAAGTATTCCGTTTTGCAGCTGGCTCATTTTATTAGATGGCAGTTTTTTATGAGATAAGTCAAAATTGTTTCTTTAAAAAATTATTTATTCAGCATATTTGTGAACGAAATTATAAAATATGCTATGCAAATCTCAAAATGTCGCATCATTCGTTATAAAAATATTTATAAATTCGAACGTGAATAAAATGCGTAATATGCAGTCTCCACACAAGTAATTAAATTCCTAAATCTGTTGTAAACAAAATACCATAAATTGAATACCATAACTGTTAAAAATAACTAAAGCTTTTGCAATACTCTTCGCTAAAATAGAACAAAACAAACTAACTGGCTTTTGCAACTTGAACTGTGTATAAAAATGGTAGTAGAAAATTATATCTTCATAAACAAAGTATTTATTTAAAAAAGCAAGTTCAAAAATTTCGATAAACATAACATAAATTCCGATAGGTACTAAAGCTTTTCTGAACATTTTAATATTGATACATCTCGATTGATCTCAAAGTTAATGGTCTTTAACTCATTTTAATGAAAATGGGATTTCTAAGGTTTCCTGATGATGTTGTTATTAACAATTTTCTTAATGCTCCAATGAAGCTACAAATACTGAATACTTTACTATACTGAATACTACAACATTCAACAAATATAATAATAAAAATAAAATTTAGATCGCTTATAAATTAAATAAAATATAAACATAAATTATAAGCGATAACTGATAAATAAAATAACACTAAATAATTTGAAATAAACATATAGCTTTTTTGCAATACTAACTATAGTTATTATTTTATTATTAATTATTATAAAAAAATTATATGATATTAAAATTTTGAATCTATCTAAGAAATTTAATTTTTGTTAGAACTATATGATATACCAGAAAGAAAATGTATGTTAGAACTTGCGTAAAATACGCATATGAATTTTAACCATTTTTTTTTCAAATTGACGTTTCTATCTATAATGCATATAATGAATTATATGAATCGCTTACCGGTGGTTGATTTTTATCGCCGTCTTCCTCTTCACTGTTAGAGTATTCTGAAGAGGAAAGTCCTAAATCCAAGCCTTCCTGATCTTCCTTTTCGGAACTGCTGACGGAATGTGAACCAGACGTGCCAACGGCGTTGTTACAGAAACTGCCTTCGCAACTCATTGTACGCAGAGCTACATTCTGCGAATTCTGCACCGAGGTCTCCCAGGAACTGACCTGCCTAAGCATTCTGAAAATAAGATAAGTAATTAAGTTGGTAATTTTTAACCGAATTAATTAAATTACAAGATTAAAAACTTCTTCAATGATTTAAAGAGCACTGTTGGTGAAGCACTAGAGAAGGATAATCACTGAGCATATCTTCCACTTTGAAAAAATATAAATTTATTTACTCAATCTTGAAATAAAAACTAAGCATTTAATTAATTTAAAAATTGAACTTGCTTGTGGTTCATAGCAGAATACTCTTTAATTTTTTCTCCTTTGAGTTCTTGCAATTGATTTAATAGAACCCTTTTAATTTCAGCCACCCATATTTGCTTCTGCTCCATTGTCGCAGCCATTATGGTATGAACTTCTTGTCTTCCTTGGAGCCAGACTTCAAACTTCCTTGGATCTCCTTTAACAGATTCCGTTAGACCAATTTCAGACATCTTAAAAAGAAGATTGACATGATTTCATTATTTCTGATAAAAAATATTGTTTTACTGAAATAAAGTAACATCGACTAAAAGCAGAATTCTAAAATCAGAAAAAAATCAGGATTCTAAATCAATTTCTTGGGTGCATGATCCATTAAAATTTCACATGCTCGGCATAGTAAAATGTAGATATATTATCATTTTGTCAAATTCAAAATATTAAATTTTGAGCTACACAAGATTGTCATGTACAATATACTTCAGGATAAAACCATTGTTTTCTTCATATTTTCAACAAAGGCACCAAAATATAAATAATTACAACTCTCAATCGTCTACAATAAATTTACATTGATATATATGCTAAATGATTATTACATCACCTCATTTTGGAAAATGAGATGTCCATCTAGTTTGATATTGTATTACTTAATAAAGAACAAAATAGAAAATCATCCAATTACTTTATTGCTTTCTGTATATCTGAATCATAAAAATATCCATCATGGTTAATTATTACCTTCAAATCATGCTTATAATGATAAGTGGTCTTGCTATGTGATCCCTTTGTAGCTTCTTTACAAAATAACATGACATTATGGTAAAGAAAGATATGTCTCTGCTGCGTTTTTAACCGCAACCGAATATCTTTCTTGCTGTCCGTCCAAACTGAGAATGAACCATGAAGAAGAAGTTCTCCTTGTTTGGTAAGATCCATCTAGTAAGAATAAAATATGCATGATAATACAGATTGATTAGGAGAGACTAAGTATATAATATTTTAACTAAAATATATGAGAAATAGAAATAATTAATTAATTATTAAATTAATTATTAGCAAAAGTATGAAACATGCCAACTGCATTATATTTTGACATACAATTTATTAATTTAACATATCTCAAAACATTTTCTAGTGTTTGATTTTCCATTCAAATATCAAATCATCAATAAATAAAGATCATTATATACAAAACTTCCTTATTATAATTTTTAAATTATTTTATCATTTAAAACGATCATTTTAACAATCAAATATTTATCACCATGTCCAAAACTTGTTTACAAATATGTATTATTAAATTATTTTAAAATTACTGAATAAATGATTCAAAATAAGTTTGAACGCATAAAAAGACAAACTAGAACCAGTTAAGTGTTCACTCGTCATGCGTATAAATCATTGACCATCGGCTGTTTAAACTCCAATTTTTTAACAAAAACAATATTCTCAAATTTCAAGATATTTAGAATATTTTGAAGTCAAGCTGGTTTAAAATAAATAGTTGAAAGTTGCATTTTATTTCGAATCTGACGACCCAAAACAGTGCTCGCAGTTCAATGAGAGCGTGAATATTTAATAAGAAAAATAAAATAACGAAAAACTGTCATAATAAAAACACAATAAAACTAGTAATGTAATTTACAATCCACCGCAATGTCATTAAAAAAATACATCACAAAAATAAAACTTCTACAAAATTTAAATTAGATATATTGATTAAATGAAACTGTCTTTTAATTTAAAAAATAAAAAAAAATTACGCGTTATGATTTTTAATTAATCATGTAACTTACTGGAAATCCTGTGATAGCAATCTGCAACATACTGTCGTTAACGCACTTAAGAACTATTAGCATACAGTCTAATGCCTCTTTCAATTCTTTACTGCAAGAATCACTTTGGCTTGTTCTTAGTAAATCCTGAAATTAATGAGTCATGCATATTGAATTCTTTGTCAAAGAATGCAATAATATTTATGAAAGATACATCTTACTAATTATAAGAATGAAAATAAAACAATATTTATTTAAAATAATTATTTGATACACACATACACATACACATATACACATTTATATCAGAATAAAAAAAATTAAATAGGTATGATATAGATATAAAAGAAAATTACAACAGAAAAAGTAATAAATTTAATTAAAAATATAAGCTATTTCCTTTTTTAACGTTTTTGACAGTATAAGTGCGATGTTTTCGTCAAATTATCCTCAAAAAATATGATTTCGAATATTACAAAATTATAATAGAACCGATCAAAAGGTTATTTATAGGTAGCAATCAATTGTTGGCAACAAAATGACGGTTTTTGGCTTTTATCTGCGTATCTCCGAAACAATTAGCTTAACCAAAAACCATTGGGTTCTGCGCGTTAAAATTACAAGGTTCAGTAGTTCTTTCCAAAATGAAATAGCAGGGTCATATTTTTCTAACAAATATTTAGAAAATATTGCAAAGTAAAGATATAAAGATATATAAAGATATATATATATATATATATATATATATATATACAGTAGAACCTCGATTATCCGGGCTAATTGTTGTCGATGGCATACAAATGATTAGAAAATATTGCAAAGTAAAGATATAAAGATATATATATATATATATATATATATATATATATATACAGTAGAACCTCGATTATCCGGGCTAATTGTTGTCGATGGGCATCCGGATAATCGAAAATCCGGATAATCCAAATTATGCGAATATCGTTTTGTTTATCGAAAATAACAAATACATACATAGATATCAACAAAAATCAATCCACTACTTGCCACAAACGATTCATCGCTGCCTAATTTTTCATTTAACTGTGATGCCTTTTCACAGAGCAAAGGTCTAGATATCGGTTGTGCTGTTGATCGTTTTTGTAAAAACCAACAATATAGAGCTTTATCTAAGAGTTCATTCTTCGGTCTTTTCATTCCATTCATCATTTTCCGATTTTCACTCCCCTCTTGAAAGTGTACGACAAAATGGAATCGGCATTCTTTTTAATATCGCTTATAGTGGATGTACCTACACCATACCTATCAGCTAACTTATGGCCTTAGGGCTGGTTTCACTTTTTTTAATGATTCTATAATATTTATTTTATCTTCAAGAGATAACACCACCCTTTTACGCTTTGGCATGTTTGAAAATGTATATATGCACGTCAAAACAGAGAATGTATTAATGTGTATATGCAAGTCAGAACACAGTCACAATTGCAAACGAACAACATAAAGCGATAACGCCGCGCGGGCGGAATATGCAAGTTCTGACGCGATTATGTCCGGATAATCGCAAATCCGAGGTCCGGATAATCGAGGTTCTACTGTCTATATATATATATAGGATATATATAGATATATATTATATAGGAGTTTCTAAAAAAAAACTTATTTAAAGAAATAAATCACAATACCTTTAATAATAGTTGGTACTTAGTAATCCTTTGTACAGGTTTTAATAAATATGCGGCAAGCGGTAATTTATGACCTAATTTTTGCTGGCAGACTTGTAAAAATGAATTTGCTTCGCCTAAATTTTCTCGTAGTTGTTCCGATCTTGGTATATTTTGGCAGTAGAAGCTATAAAGTTTGAAAAATGTATCTTTCTGCAATCAAAAAGGGTTTTACATAATTACACATATTTACACATATTTAAAAAAAAAAAAAAAACAATTCAAATCAATAATACCTTCTCCACAAAACACATGGCAACTAATTCCGTAGTTGAAATGCAATTTTCAAGGTCCTTCAGAAATACATCCTTATGGAAAGTGTGTAGTTCATCCAAATTTCCAAATAATATATCACATTTCGTTTGTAATATTTGGGGTACTAATGGATTCAAATTTACGGATAATATTTCATCTCTGTAGCCCTGAAAACAAGATTTTATATGTATATAAAGATATGATCAAATAAAAATAAATAAGAATCAATTGTGTTACTATGAATTATTCTATTCTAATATTTTTCGTCGTCAACCAATACTTATTGTATACATTATTACTCACATTCCAATTAAAATTCACTGATTTTATTCGTAATTTGTTTTTTTTTACAAATATGTCATGTTCAAATATGAACGCTAATAAAGGTTTTTATGTTTGTTAAATATTTTGAAAGAAACGTATTTGCTATGAAATACCGCAAATCGGTTTCGCATGAAAGTGTAAGCCACTCCGGTACCAAAATTTTATTTGGTTTATTAGGTTGGATTCAATAATTATTGAAAATTACATAGTCAAAGTAGAATACATAAAAATATATTCAACGCAAAGCAGAAAATTAGTTCCGCAAACGTTGCTGCAGGATTTGAAAAATATGAAAATTGCTTCAAATGCGACATTCAAAGATCGATCAGTCATGATCAAAAATCAATTCCCTCTTATACTATTAGTATATATGAATTAAGTTTAAATTTAAATATGATTCAATATAGGCATTGTTTACGACTATCTATTGTCTATGGCATTGTAATGACTATCTTGAGCTATTTTACCTTCAATATTGATCCAATTTCATTAACATAAACTCGTTCAGTTTCCAGTAATTCAGAAATAACGTGATCCTGTTGCACTTTATATGCTTTTTTACTAGGTTCTGAAGTTTGACTTGAAGATGAAGATGAATTATAAGTTCTCGTAGAAATCTCACTGTCAGATGAATATTCAGTTTGTACGGAACCCCAATATTCAGCCGAACATTCACCAGACTGCGGCCGTTGTTTCCTTTCATGCCCCATCTTAATAACAAGAACATTTCAACTAACTAATAAATATTTATTATAATTATATTGGAAAAAATCGTTTCGTATATTGATCAAGTATATTACATCTTTTGTTGGTAAAAAAGTGCCAAAAAAGAAATAAATTTTAATTAACCTGAAACAGTAAAAAAATTACCTCTTTGGAAGTAGACTTCTTTCTAACCGGTCGTGTTCTGATTGGATAATGTGGAGCACCTCCAGATGGCTGGATAGGAACTGCAGGTTCTGGTATGACAGTTTGAACTGGCCTCAAAGGTTTCACACATAATTTTTGCAAGGTCGTTATTCTTTTATCGCACATTAGTGACACATCGTTTATACGTTTAAGTACCTGCAACGAAAGATAGACTTAATGAAATAAAATCAAACATATTTATGAATTATTAATCAATTAATAACACTTTCAGTGTTATTAAACGAACTTAGGGACCTCACAAAAACATAAGAACAAGAATAAGAATCTAAAACAAGAAAGAAGATCAATTCGATTTAGATAAAAACGCTGAAGAAAAATTGAAGCAAAATATTAACCAACTGGCACTGTCTACTAAAATACAGAAAAATCACCAATAATATAGCCCAAAATTATGATTTATTGGAATAGCAGCTTAGAAAGAGAAGAAAAATCGACTAAGAAAGTGAGTGGAAGTGTTTAAAATATCAAAAGTATAAAATATCTTTAGACTAACGAAAACTATATAGAAAATTTATTATTATACATGTATTAGTTATTATTAATAAGAAACTTACTTGTTTCACTAATGGTTTTGACTCCAATGTACTCGATTCTTGTAAACAACTTTGAAATTCGGTTGCTTTAGACTGTTTAAAATCTTGAATTTCGTGCAAAGATTGCTCTGCAAGCTCAAGTGATGATGAACATTTTTCTATATGTTGAGAGGTTAACAACTCTACACCTTTCGCACACCACTGGTTTGCCTGATCAAATAAAAAGTTTTGTTAATAAAATTGTAGAAAACGAGTAGGTAATAATCATGTAACAAAAATTCAAATTGAATTACTCTCTCGACTTGTTCCATTAGTTCCCTCCATTTATGCAATGTTTCTAAACGTTTTGTAATTTTATCGTGTAACGCTGTTCGTACTCTATTCAGTTCTGTACATTTCGGTTCCACACACTCATGAGGCACGGTACTAGATTTGACTAACAATTTTTTTCCTACAAAACAAAAATTATAAATTCATTTTCTAATATGTATTTAACATTAAAGTTTCATTAATTGTTTAATATATAATATATATATATATATATATATATATATATATATAATGCTTTCTTTACCTAAATTTATCACAATGTCAGCCCTTTCTATATCACTTCTGCATGAGTGTTGAAATTCCTGCGCTTGCTGGATAAGCTCGTCCACGTGACTCACAGTTTCTCCGACCTCGATCATTTCCTCTATCACCCGTAAATGAGCATCAAAATTACTCTGAAAATTTTAATTATTGTTAGTCATATGAATTGTGCAAAAATAAATTCATGGAAAAAGCAGTTCGAAACAAAAATGTATATGTAAAAATCACTGGTAAGCACCGGCAAGAGTTAGCGAGACCCCTCCCTCAAACGATAAATTATTACATAATGAGAATTACAGCTAAAAAATGTACGAGTAATTGAAATTTTTTGCTAAAACTTATGCCAAAAATTACACAAATTTTAAATAATAAAAAACATTGCGAGAACCCCCCAAGTGCAACATTTTTTATCTGAAATAGTATATATTTTAGTAAATTAGAACATAAAAATTATTGAATGGGTTTAATATGCTTTGATATTGACATATAATTCGTGTGCAAAATATAAAAAAATATGATACAAAACAATGATATAAAAAATATACCTGTAACTCTCGAAAATCCTGCTCGAACCTCCTTAGTTTTAAGCATTGAATCAATTTCGTAGAATGTGCGTTCCAAAACTCATCGAATCTTTTCTCAGTCTCTTCCAACTGCACCAAGAGTCTAGAAATCCCACATCTATAATTCCCACAAAGCAACAAAAAAATTCTTTAAACAACATTTGCCGTGGGAATCGTGAGCGACGTATTCAATTATAAAAATTCAATTAAACATCTATATACATACATTGACGCCAAGCCAAATAAACCAAAATAGTATTGATTTTACCCAAAAAAATATAACCGAACTATGGTGGATGTATGTACATGGTGTATGACCATCAGCCAAATGCCTTGTGTATTGTTCACATGTGCAAAAAAATCTATGAATTGAAGAACTATAATATAAACATAATTACAGTAAAATTATAATAACATCTATGCATCATCTCCAGAACTCAAGTTGTTATACCATTATGGGACCAAAATAAAATTAAAGAAGCAATTTGAACTTTTTACATAATAATTGGATTCGCTAAGCATATTCCACTAAGCTAATTTAGATGTCCATGCACATCAACATTATTAAACTTTGTGCACATATTGATCAAGTTAAATTTCTAGTAATTATAAAAACAGTCTATGAGAAGTAACATAATAATAAACACATTCAGGCAACATTTTTATCTTAAACAAAATTTAAACATTCGATAAAAAGTTAAATACAATTTTCTTCTTTTGTTTGAAAAATCTTCGTTGAAAAATGTATTTTTTGAATATATACATATATAATTATAGATCTATATTTTGATTTTTTTTAATTTTGATTTCCATTTTTGTAAAATTATAGAGAGAATATTTTTATAAATAAAAAACCTATAACCCATTATCAATTTAGTAATTAGTAATAGTTCCGCAGATATAGAGTAAGTTATAGTAATCTGTTGTTAAACAATATGTATGTGTAATTATTATTTTTTACATAATTTAAATTAGTGCTTCCAAATATATTTTTATCGTCGCGAATCAATATGAAACTTGATTGCCTCATTGAACAAAATGTAACACCTAGAATAAACACCTCGGAGTACGAAATTTAAGAGCAATATGAATAGAACTCACATATATTACTTTGATACAATTTGAGCTATAAAGTTTTATTGATAATATAGTTGTAAAAAGTAGTCAAATATAGAATACCGTTGTCGTTAATAATTATTGGATTCTTAAAACAATAGAATTTGCGGTTGCTCAATATAGAATATAATTAACGATCACTAATCATTTCGTCTAAAAATCATTTACCATTTAACAATTAAGATCACATCGAGCCTATTCTATATTTGGCGAGATTGAATAATGTATGTGAGAATAACATTGGTATTTTTAATAACATGTGTGAGCCTAAGAACTTTTAATCTCTGATTTCAAACAATTTCGATTTTCGCGCGCGTTTATTCAAACGTCGCCCAGTAAATTATGTTAGCCTTCCCACGATATATGTTAATTATAAGCACCCATTTAAAATAGAATTTTCAAAACAATCGTATAAAAGATGCAACTGACCTTTCCACAGCAGATACATTGCCTATCCGATCGATGTGTTTACCGCCAGGCTCTCTTATACTTTGCAATAATTCATAACCGTGTTTCGTAGTTCCCATAATGTCTTCCTTCAGAATATTGTATTTTTCTCCTTGGACTTGTAACAATCGTTCTGTGGCTTCTGCGCTATTTGGAAACATGGTTTCATGGATTTGTCTCATAAATTGATCAAGCGACACCGAGATCTCTTGAGTCATCATGGAAAATTTTTCTAAGGACTGGAATAAATAAGAAAAAAAATTAACACCCAGATCATTTCAATTATATGTTATTTTCCTGCAGATTTCGCAGAATACTTTTGAGAAACTAAACGTTAAATTTCCAGAGAAAAATTGTGAACTTTAAATCGGTATTTCTGAATACAAGTTTAAAAAACAAATTGCGACTCACTCTCCATTTGTATTTATTTTTTACCTGAATTAAAAAAAAATCTAACTGTTTCAAAAAAAAAATTCAAAGGTTTTACGATTTTTTCTATGAACTAAAAATACTCGTAATGTTGGATTGTAAAGGATCCTAATTTTAAATATCGCCGTATATCATCAAGGGGGGAAACGGTCCAAAAATCCTTATAAATCGATCACGTGATTGATGGACGAGGCGTTATACGATTTTTGGCTTAGTCTATCGACTTATACTCTGTTTCTGTCATATTTCATTTTTTGGAGATATGAGGATAAAATACCTATCCTATGATTATGTTCATTTCGAAGATTTTTGTAGTAATAGCTCAAAATAATTGCTTCTCCAGCTGACTTCGAGTAATAATAATTAAATCTTTTCATAAAAATATAAAAAAAAGTCACCAGAAATCATTTTTTGATGAAGAATGATACCGAATCTGAACTACGTTATTTAGTTCCGTTTTTCTGTCTAAATACAATTTCATAACTTTTTTAAATATATTTTTTAAAATTGTCAATCTAAATTAAATATATGAAATATGTGATCTTTCATCATGAGCAATTGCTACTTATAAAAGAAAACATGTGAAGGTTGATAAAGTATCAAAAACAAGCAATTCGTGCTAATTCAAATTCAAATCTTCAAACTAATACAAATGTGTATAATATGAAAGTTCAAAGATAGTATAATAAAGCACACTGTTTATGCTAAAAATATGATTTTGAATAATAGATCCTTGCTTGACAGATGTTTAATAAAATGTAGCCGTTAAGCTTATATCATATCCAAATAACAAAACTACGATCCAAACATTTTGATTGTGTTTTTTTTTTCACAGATCTAATACTTGTATATTCTAATAGTGTTGATATTTTTTTAACTAATTGCAGCAATGTTGGGAAGAGGTACAGGAAACATTGATCTAGTAATATGTTGAAAAAAAAATTACAAAAAGAAAGAAATTTGTTAAGTTATTTAGTTAAACAAGTCCCAATACATTTTTTAGTTCGCAAAAAGTATAGGTACGCATTTATGCATGCATATATTAATAATATTGATTCTAATAATGTATATGAATATGTATTGTGTAGATAAACTCATGTGCGCATAATTATATGTTATATCACAAGATATATAGATTACAAATAGTATCGCCAAAACAGACTTATAATCATTATCTTTTAGTTTTGTATCATGAATTTATTTAAAATACTCATATTATCTCTATAAATTCTATAAACCATGAAACTATGTAAGAAAAGCACCGCTTTATATAATTCGTATGAAAGAGAATAATATCAAACCGTATATCATAAGAGATAAAGAAAACAATAATCTTTCATGTGTTTGAAAAAACATGTTTCGATACGCATTAAATAAATCATTATAATAAATCGTATTGTGTATTAATATTCTCACACAGCAAGTAGTTGGTACTAATATTGGTATATCGTATAATAATAAAACGGTATAGCAACATTATGGTAGTTACATATCTACTTAAAAAAAACTTTTGTTAAACAATTTTATTAGTATTGTCAATTCAACAGAATAGATTGTGTTACGCATACATGCAATGAGTAAGTTTTTAACTCATATATATATATATATATATATATATATATATATATATATATATATATCACCATTTTATCAGTTTCCGTTCCTAAATGATAATGTGTGCAAAATGCAGCGGATGAAATTTTCAAAATAAGTTTTGATAGTGGAAAATTGCAAAGTAGTAAAAAATCATCTCAATCTCAAAATGTGTCCAAGTAAAAATAGCTCTTATAACGCATTGCTACAACAAATCATCAGTATTAGAGAAGTTCGAATAATAAAATATTAAAAATCGTGATAGCAACCGTTGGGTTGCTTTCAAAAGTCTACGTTAAGAAATGTGATTGCAATGGGAACCTAAAAAAGCCGAAATAAAAAATAATACGAATATTAATGAGAAAATAACGCTCAACCTTTGATATTTTAAATATTGTTAAAAAAACAATTTTGGTGAAATTGAACAAAACAAAGTGGGTGCAGAAACACGCTATTTCTAAATAACTTTAACAAATCAATATTAATTTACTAACATAATTTGTTCCAGAACTGTACTCACGCAACCTGAAATAGTAATTTTGCAAAACGGCAAACATTTGCACAATTTAGGTTTGGAACCGTTTTTAATACGGCGTTTCACTTCTCAATTCGATAAGAGTAATGCCACTTATTAAGCAAAACATTTTTTTACAAATGCTTTTGCAAGTTCTGCACTTTAATCGATATGAAATGAATAAAATCACACACAAAATATGATTTAATTTTAATTTGTAATTTCTAACCATTTTCCTCAGAACCAACATTGTTCCTTAATTGCTATAATTGATATTTAAATTTCATTTATTTTTCAACATTCCATGGATGGATATTTCAGTATCTTTCAATTGCCTAGCAAATGGGAGCGTGCTACACATAAAATGATCAACTTTCATAAGTAATTTTTATAATGTGTTTTTTTACAATAATCTTAAATTAAAAAAACCTATGCAGTCTCACCAGTATGTAAGCATATAATTTATTATCTTACGTACAATTCTTTGTTGTATCCACTCGATGTGTGAATATTTCAAATCACCCCCCAAATCGCTTGTCAGCTGTGACTTATCAATGAATTCGTGAAGTTCTTCTAAACAGGAACAAACTTCAACTCGAAACCGAAACTCTTCCTTGAATAATTTATTACTGACTTCAGATATCGCCTTCTGGAAAAATCCGGCCGGTCGCAAGACATATGCCACATTTATCACACCCGGAAAGAATATCTGAAAAAATAAAAAACAATGATTTAATATATTTAAAATATAGTAGAAATGGAACATATAATATTGTATTAGTCTAAAAATTGTTTATCTAATCGTCACGCGATATTATAATAGTTACTTCTCAATACTAGATATTCAGAAAAAAAATGTCAATGGGGCACAATGGTCCAATTTGAAGTTAAGCAATTGTATATAACCATGATCTGGTATTTCGTCAGAAATATATATCAGTAGAGTTGGTGTCTTATTGAATCGCCTTTTCAACTTAGTTCACCTTTTTATTTACTATTTGTTATTGTTTACACCTTTGGCAGGGTAAAGGTTCAGTTGGTCCTTTTTACCCCACCCACGTGTAAGATTTTAAAGAGGTTATATAAAAAAAACTGTTGAATATAACTTAAAATTGATAATACATCTTATAGATTACCGCCGTAGCCCAACATCAGGCAACTTTGATGTCAAATTTCCACTTGGAGTTATAGATCACAATATAACTTCAAGTGGAAATCGTCCTTCGTGGACCTAGTTGCATCATTCAGTCATATGTAAACTATTAGACCTAAGAGCTAATATATAAAAAATCCCACACATAGGAGAATGGTGAACCGATGGGTTGCCTCCTCTCATAATAATACCTTAGATTTAGAACATAAGTCTTGAACCAAGCAGCTTATAGAACATATAAATAGTAAGAGTTCTGAATGCTGTAGTAACAATAAAAAAAAATCTTATAGGTTGCTCTTGTTATGGATTTTCAAACATTGCCGTCTATCTCCCAATAGCGACGTCGTAAGAATCAAGGTGATGGTTGATCATACATGTTTTGCCCTATGCTTTCAAATATTGTTGAAAAAATTCTTAAATCTACTTGTTTTTGAAAAATCTGCGGTGGGCCTTAGTGCACCTTTAAGCCCGGCTCTACTCTCTTTCTCTCTCTCTCTCTTTCTCTCTCTCTCTCTTTCTCTCTCTCTCTCTCGCTCTATGTATATACCATAATATATATATATACATATATATATATATATATATATATATATAATTATAATCTGTCTAAATTTAGAAAACTAAAATATATTTATAACAGCATTTTTATGCTACTACTATCATTGTGTAGTTTATGTAGTCTGATACAAGATTTACAGCTAATGCTTTTATTAGTACAATTTAATCGTTTATTCGAACAACATTGCAATCATTACTAAACCGCTTCTGTAGGAATCATAAAAAACGGCCATGCAATTCCATTCAGCTAGAGAAACACCTGTGACCAATAAATAATTGATTTTTAACGCTTTTATTATTCTTTCTAACAAAGTGCCACTCGTTCTACATGTGGTATAAAAATAAAAAATATAATAGTAATTAGTAGTTTATACTCGATATAAATATGCATATTTTATGACACAAGATATATAGAAATAACTGCATTTATTATTGTGAGAAGTATAAAATAAAATAATATATTACCGAAATCTTCATTAGCACTGCCTTAACGGAACTCCATTTGTCCTCTCTTCGATCTATAATCAGGTGAAATCCCATATCCGCTTCTTGTAATCTGAAAGAATATTAATATAATTATTTTATAGTTCATAATAGTGCATAATTTTGAATAAAAATAAAATTAATCAATACATTTTTTTTTCATATTTAAAGTAACCGCGCAAAGAATGAGATCGTAATTTCAGATAGCTGGGTTTTATAAAGAAAACACTATAAATAATAATCATTGATTAATATTTATTTTATATCCATTCGTTAAAGTAATTTGTGAATTTAAATTCACTACTTAGCAAGTTTGTTTACTTCGGTGTGAGCATTTCCTTATATCTTATATTTTTCAGTTAATTATGGAGACTCTAATTAAGGACATACTGATTACTCTACAATGTATCTCATATTTACAATCAACATAAATACAAATACAAAAAAATAAAATTAAATAACTATGGAATTGGTGGCGAAACCACAAGGTTTTGAATTTAAATCCCGATAGTAGTAATATTCATTTTCGCTTATCGATAGAAATACTATCATAAATATATTTCCAAGCAAAAATAGCCTTCGGACATTGGTGCGAAAAAGTTTAAAATATCATCACAATTAGAAAAGACCAATTGAGTTGCCTTCTGATGATAAATTATATAAAAAAAATAATAAAATAACCATTGCGTTGACTTCTAATAACCATACAAGTAAAAAAAAAACTAATAACAAAAAATAACTCATCATAATAGATTGTAGGATCCCAAATTCGGCAACATATTTGATGCATCAGTGCATTGTTAACATAATCGTTTAAAATTTTGTCTACATTATATTGTGTTATTTTTAGTCATTTATTACTTAATATTTTTCATATTTGTGTTACTAAAATACTTGATTTGATATAAAAAACTATATAATTAGAAGTCAATAATATATAATGACTAAGCTATATTTGTTTTGATCAACAACAACGCTGAATATAAAATTAAAACGTGGACACAATAGAATTGATCCAAAACCACCAATTAATAACATAACGCATGAATCACGATCTAAATAGACAATTGCGTTTGACAAGCTGCCTGGAAGTTTCTAATTAAATATGTTGCATATGCAAGAGCATTCGAACAACAAAAATATGACAACAGTAAAACCCCGTTAAGACGATTTTCCAGAGACCAAGAGAGAAACGTTTCTTATACTAAAAATCAAATTAAGCGGGATAGAAACAATATATTTTAAAGTGCAGGAACCGGCGTGAAATGTCGTATTATGCGAGATATCGTATTAAGCATGATTGTCTTAACGGGGTTTTACTAAAAATGCAAATTATCAATAGAAAATTTTATCAATAAAAATATATGATTAATACACGCTATATTAATATGCTTCATGAAAATATTTGTTAAATAAAATGAACTAGTGGTGTATGGCATCATGCCTCAAGGCGAATTGCAGAAACTTCCCACAACAAAAATTAGATTTTTGAGAAATTTAAAATTTTTGAGAAAAAATTACTTTTTGGAAAAAAATGTTTTATTTATTTCAAAATATTTTGGAAACTTTGAACTTTTTTTCAAAGCAATCGCGCTGCTTTAGCTGCGTAGAGACGAAATATCGAAGCGCGTAAGCGCCGCGTCGCCATCTAACGGACAAACGATGTTCCGGAACCCATAGAAATATAAACAAAATTTATACGTATTATTACAATCTCCATAAAATATCTGATAATTTGGCGTGCATATGTCTAATGATCATTTTTGACCGCCAAATGGCATCTTTTTACTTTTTTTTTACTAGATCTCCAAAACCACTAAACCTGCGAAACCACTAAACCTGCCTTCCCAAAAATTAATCAGTTCTTCATCTTGTCAATACAAGTAAAATGTTTTTTTGAATTATGAAAATCGGACGCTCCGTTCTCTTAAAAACTGAGTTACCATTTTTGGCACTTTTTGCCTCGTATCTGAATACAATGTGTAACTATAAAATGGAGAGCAAACCGATTTACAAAAAAAAAAAAAATAATTTATTTTTTAAATTTTGGATTTATTTTCATAATTTACAAAATTCTTTCAATAAAAAAATAATATTAATTTCTAACAATTTTCAAACTAATGTTTTACTGAAAATTTCATTGGCTAAAATTTATTATATATAATGTACAGAAACCTAGGTAATATGGTATAAGGTTATAGACAAATGTCTAAAAACTTTGTTATCTATTATTTAATACAACTATTTTCAATTTAATATTAACGAAGAAATTCTCATATTTTAATAAGAAATGCATATGAAGTAAAAATACATACTTATTAAATTAATCAACTAGAATGAAAATTCTCATTCTAATAGGTGAAATGTTTGCTTTGATCGAATGTTACTATTTTTCAGAGAAAGCCTCAAGATATTCTCATTTATTGGCACAAATCTAAAAAATTGGATTCGTATAAAAACAATAAATATATATTAAAAAGATACATCAATTTGTATTAGTAAATCTTAAATTTACTAAAAATTAAATTAAAATTAGTAATTATCTACATGTGCTGTAAAGTTTTTAAATGATTTAGAAATACCAACTAATTTATTACGCATTTTTATCCTAAGCAATAATAATTGCTTAATAACTCATTAAAGAAAACTAGGCTATGTGCATTATATACCATTGTGGTTGTATTATTTGAATGATAACAGATTTAAACATTAAAAAGTGTCTTCCCCACAGAATATTTTTCGAAATTTATATGTATGTTTCTACATGTTCTACATATCTCAAAATTGAGAACACTATTTTTTATGTTTAGAAAGAAAACTAAAGTATGCAAATGAAATCTCAACAACACATATAAAATCGGGCACTGATACTGCAATATCTTGTTACGCAGAACTCATTGCAATCAGTGTTTAATGATGGCATTTCCTATTTGTTTTTTTTCACTACTTTCCGGATGAGTAATGTATGACAAACACACATCATATGTAGAATATCATGTTACTTATTAAAAACGCAAAAAATCATGGCATTTTTTCAAAGATGCAAATTAATAGTACGAATAAATTAATAGTCTTTGTAAACTGTTGATAATGATAAGGCAATCTAGTGTCTTACATGAAATGTTACATGTAGAAGTAAAAGTGTGCAGATGAACTGAAACATGCTCTGTATAATTGACACCAAAAACATAGAAAGTTTAAGGAAGGATAAATCTAATTCAATTAAACTAAAAAAATAGTATTTAACCCAAACGATTAATAACTGCGAATATATTTAATATATTGCGACGAGGAGGGTTGAAGCCCCCTTCTTGGGGTTAGCAATGGCTGCCAAATATTATATTTTAGCCTTGCAACCCCGTTACGAAGGGGTTACTTCAACCCTCCAATCGCCCGCTAAAATACCTGTAATTACCTGTGGGGGTTAGTAGCTACTATACGAATGAAACCAAGATTACTTTCATAACTAAATCTATTAAAATAATTAAAATACATTCCGCATGTATTTGTGGAACATGACCGTACTTGCATACGGTCATGTTCCCTAACTAATACCACTTATTCTTATATCATGGTATATATGCTTATATGGAGATGTGAGGGGAGAATAGCTACAGCTTATAATCTACATTATCTGACCTTTAAGCTGGACCTGTCCTGTTGCACAACACACACACAACTCACACTAACGTATCCCAAGGCGTTCGCCTATGGGATCGTCTTCGTTGGCTCTAACTTTCTTAATTGCCAGGATCTCCGGAGCGTCCTCTCTGATGGACCCCAAGAACCAATAGGTAGTTAGGGGCAGTGGTAGGGATGGTCCCGTACCCTGGGGTTGACGACTATCAGGCGACAATAATTATCAATACGACGATAATTATGATTATCGTCACACGCCCCCCCTGTCACACCAGAGCCGCCCTCGGCTCTAAAAATTGTTGCTACTTCCAACGATGTTTGAGGTCCCCGTAGCGGTATCCATAATTGTTGGGTGTAAGTCCAGAGCCTGGTTGACTAAATGTGAATTTGAACGTAGACTGTGTGTGGGTGTGGGCCAATAAACCTTCAGTAATTGTGCTTTCGGTCAGATATATGTCGTCTTGTATTCTTAAGAGCTATTCCCCCATTTATTAATAAGAAGTTGATACACAACAAACAAAAAAAATTGATTAAACAACGTAACAAGTAATCAATAAAAAAAAATCTAAATCGACAACCATAATCTTAAAAACAAATATCAAACTAAATTTATATATGGGTGTCAATTTGACCTTCAACTTGAAACTGAACTTAATTAATTTTGTTTTCCAAGAGCTCGTGTTTGAAAAAAACTGTACCTATTGAACTTCAAATCGCGATGTTATTTAATTAGACACAAAAGAGAAACTACCATTATAAATAATCTACAATACAAAAAGAAAAATTACACGTGGTAAGATTAAGATGTTACTAAAAAGAGAACGTTTTCTGTACAATTTTTTTTCGGAACACGCTATCTTGAAAACAAACCTAACCTATGTGTGTGTGCTGTTCCCTGTTTTTTGGTTGTAGTATTAGTTATTATGAAATAAACGTAACCCGAAATCTAAATTAGTCGCCAGAATCGATTAGCCCGATAATATGGACAATATGGAGTAACGCGTGGAAAAACATAAAAAAAAAATAACTAATGTGACGATAAACAATGAAGAATTTTTTACCTTTACGTTAAACTGAATCAATTCCGTAAATAACTAAATGACTAACGAACGCGACATTTACAGTAATTCAGCCTCTACTGGTGTGATTGCCCCCCAAACACAAGACCACAGATGGGGGCTAAGATCTAGTTATCCTTCTGCTCCCCCGCAGCGCCCCAACCATAATAACACTAGACCGACCGCTTATGCCCACCAAAAACAATGGCACTTACAATCACCTTTGTAAGCGGGACCACCCAGAGTTCCCCAGCTCGGCACAAGGCCCTCAAAGGTTGTCCCCTTCGCGGGAAATGGCGACGTGCGACCTATGGCGCCATTCCAGTCTCACTGAAGGTACCTTCTTAAAAATTTTTCCAAATAACTCATA